TGTTTGATGCTCAATATCTTTAGCCATAGCTCTTTGAGTTCTTTAAAAGAAGATTTTTTAAGTTTTTACTATATGCATATAGGGAAAATCAATGACCCCCTGGGGCGGGGCCAATTTTACCCCAGGGCTTTTATTTGAACAAACTTGGTAGACACCCATTAGAACATGTTTCATGCTAAATATCTTAGCTCTAGCTCTTTGGGTTCTTTAAAAGAAGATTTTTTAAGTTTTTACTATATGCATATAGGGAAAATCAATGACCCCCCGGGGCGGGGCCAATTTTGACCCCAGGGCTTTTATTTGAACAAACTTGGTAGACACACACTAGAAGATGTTTCATGCCAAATATCTAAGCTCTAGCTCTTTGAGTTCTTAAAAAGAAGTTTTTTAAGTTTTTACTATATGCATATAGGGAAAATCAATGACCCCCGGGGCGGGGCCAATTTTCACCCCAGGGCTTTTATTTGAACAAACTCGGTAGACACCCATTAGAACATGTTTCATGCTAAATATCTTAGCTCTAGCTCTTTGGGTTCTTTAAAAGAAGATTTTTTAAGTTTTTACTATATGCATATAGGGAAAATCAATGACCCCCCGGGGCGGGGCCAATTTTGACCCCAGGGCTTTTATTTGAACAAACTTGGTAGACACTCACTAGAAGATGTTTCATGCTAAATATCTAAGCTCTAGCTCATTGAGTTCTTTAAAAGAAGATTTTTTAAGTTTTTACTATATGCATATAGGGAAAATCAATGACCCCCGGGGCGGGGCCAATTTTCACCCCAGGGCTTTTATTTGAACAAACTTGGTAGACACCCATTAGAACATGTTTCATGCTAAATATCTTAGCTCTAGCTCTCTGGGTTCTTTAAAAGAAGATTTTTTAAGTTTTTACTATATGCATATAGGGAAAATCAATGACCCCCCGGGCGGGGCCAATTTTGACCCCAGGGCTTTTATTTGAACAAACTTGGTAGACACTCACTAGAAGATGTTTCATGCCAAATATCTAAGCTCTAGCTCTTATGGTTTTTTAAAAGCAGATATTTAAAGTTTTTTCTTTCAGTTGCCATGGCAAGCAGAGTTTTGCATGGAATTAAATTCTTTGAACAATTTTTAAAGGTGACCACCAAAGGAACATTCCTGTGAAGTTTGGATGAAATTGGCTTAGTGGTTTATGAGGAGATGTCATTTAAAGTAAAAGTTTACGGACGGACGGACGGACGGACGACGGACGGACGGACGACGGACGGACGCCGGACGAAAAGCGATCACAAAAGCTCACCCTGTCACTTTGTGACAGGTGAGCTAAAAATAAAATGTAAGATTAAATGTATTTATAAAAAATAAACATTTTCTTGTGAATTAAGTGACATAATCATTCAATATTTTAAGCACTATTTTTAAGGTGGTCAACTAATTTCTTTTTTCTTTCTTTTAAGTAATACTACTTTTGACTATATAGAGAACTACTTAAATACAATCAAATCATCTATTAATATTTTTTTACCAATCTTTTGCCTTAAACACACATGTATATACAATTAATGAATTTTGTTAAATATATGTAACTTATTTCCAAAGGAAATAAGAAATTTTTCACAGAAATATAATTTAAACATTCCACTAAAATTGACTACCTTTAAATAATTTGCAATATTCATATACATTTTTCATAATAGTGAATTTTAAAATATATCATAATCAAAGTATTAAAGCTATGGTACGCATTCAAAGCAATAATTACATCAGAGTGGTCTTTCTTTCTTCACAAAGATAACTTTAAAAAGCCACGACTTGTCCAGCACTCTTAATAAACTTTACATGAAGCTTGCATGTTATTAATAAAAAAAAGGGTGCCATAGTCACAAAATACGCCCGTTTACGAAAAAGCTTTAGATGGAGATGGGGGCATTATGGATAAGTGTTATCTAGCAAGCAAGTTTTTATTCTTGGCACTGTGTTGTTAAATGAACCTTAAAACAAATCAATAGGGAAGATATGCACAGAATGTGTGACCTTGACCTTGGTCGCAGGGACCTGAATTTTATGCACGGCACTCAGCCTCACAATGATGAACATTTGTGCCAAAATTATATTGAAATCCCTCTTATGCATGTAGAAGTTTTGCTCCAGACAAGTGTTTTTCTATGAGCTCTAACTGTGACCTTCACCTTTGACCTAGAGACTTGGTTTATGTGCAGGGCACTACGTCTCATGGTGGTGAAACAATTCTATAAAAGTAACATTAAAAATTCCTCCATGCATGTAGAAAATATGCTCCGGACAACATCTGGATATTTAATCATCTCCAGTGACCTTGACCTTGCAAATATTTAACCTAAATTAAATGTGTAACACCTGTAGTCATGGATAGTTACCATTTGTGCTACAATCCATCAATAAATGATGACTAAATGGTCCCTATAACCATCTTCAAATTTTATCTGAAACTTTGACCTCTATGTGTAAACTTGACTTGGTCGCAGGGATCTGAATTTTGCATGCGACACTCAGCCTCACAATGGTGAACATTTGTGCCAAGTTATATTGAAAACCCCCTATGAATGTAGAAGTTTTGCTCCGGACAAGCGTTTTTCAATGAGCTCTAAGTGTGACCTTGACCTTTGACCTGGAGACCTGGATTCATGCATGGAGCAATACATATTTCATGGGTGGTGAGCATTTCCATAAAGTATTATAAAAAATTCTTCCATACATGTAGGATATATGCTCCAGACAAAATCTAGATATTTCACCATCTTTAGTGACCTTTGACCTTGCATATATTGACCTAAAGTACATGTGTCAACAGCCGTAGTCATTGTAATGACCATTTGTGTTACAATCCTTCAATAAATGATGATTAAATCGTCCTATACACATCTTCATATTTTTATCTTTTTTTAAACGGGCGTATAAAAAGTACATGTAATTTAATAACTAAAAAATTCTGATTTTAAGATTTTATTCTAGGGAAATACATTTCATTACAATTCTTAATCTTTTGAATGAGCTGAACTGATATTTACTTGAAAATTAAAATATAATTAAATTTCTCTATGAGAAAGTATTTACATTTGATAAGGTAATTACTGTATGATCTTTATGAACAAATACCAAGTCTACAGAACACCATAGTTATCACAGTTAAGTATTATCTTGACCAATGAATGAAACATGTGTTAAATAAATGTTACATTCTTTAAACATACTCAAGTCCAAGAAAAGAGGATTATTTCATGCCCTTTGATTAAATTCTATTTTTAGAAAATAGATCAAGGGGAGTAATTGTGTAAGTCATTTATGAACAAAGTAATAACTTTGTTGTCTCCCTTTGATTAAATTCTATTTACAAAATCTGGATATTTCATCATCTTTAGTGACCTTGACCTTGTATATATTGACCTAAATTATATGTATCACAGCCATAGTTCTTGATAATGACCATTTGTGTTACAATCCCTCAATAAATGATGACTAAATGGTCCATATACACATCTTCATATTTTTTATCTGAACTTTTGACCTCTATGTGTGACCTTGACCTTGGCCGCAAGGACCTGAATCTTGCACGCGACACTCCGCCTCACAATGGTGAACATTTGTGCAAGTAATATTGAAATCCCTCTATACATGTGGAAGTTTTGCTCCGGACAAGCATTTTTCAATGAGCTCTCTAAGTGGTGACCTTGACCTTTGACCTTAGAGACCTGGTTCATGTGCGCGACACTGCTCCTCATAGTGGTGAACATTTATATGAAGTTTCATTAAAACCCTCCATACATGTAGGAGATATGCTCCGGACAAAAATTGGACGCCACCTGCCCGGCCACCCGCCCGCCATACGGACCCGTTTTGCTTTTTTCAAACGGGCGTATAAAAATTATGAAAATAAGATACAATAAAATATTATAAATATCCATCAAAAAGGTTGGGAATGTTTGTTTTATGGAGTTTTATGCAAGTATCGTATAGAACTGCACGCACATAACTATCAATATACTCTGTGTCATGTTTTTTATGCTACATACTGTAAAATATGGCCGCAATTTGCGTTTATCTGATATAAAACAAATTTTAAGTGACATTATGCCCACATAAGGGTGCATAGTGAGTGAACAGGTAAAAGTTAAAATGAGATTACATTTTGCAACATTTACTATCAGTTATATAAGTTTCTTCGCATAAACGATAAATAACTCATGTGGCCCCAAGGAAATTTCTGTAAATATCCATCGGAATTTACATGTAATTTTCAATTTTTAAAAAGAGAGGGGAAGTCTTTTCATATATTTAAGACAGATTTATATTATATTCTAAATATTTTCCAATATCAACTGTTGGTCAATCACCATTACTGCAGATATATAGTCAATTCAGCTCAACTAGACCATGAAAAAATGAGCATAATGTCACTTTAAACCAAATGATAGTTAAGAAAAAGACTTTACAGAAATAAAAGGCTGTGATGACCAAAGCAGACATACTGTAATCAAATTTAGTTAAATTTTTATATATATATATATATATATATATATATATATATATATATATATATATATATATATATATATATATATATATATATATATAAACGGGCTTTCTAAAAAAGAGCCGTACCTATGATCATTAAAAATTTTTACAAGACTGATTCACCCTTAAATCTGACAAGAGCCCGTCAACATGTCTTTGATGTAGAGTGCTTACAAATCATGGCTTTTCACCCAAAATGTTTTATAAACAGGCATTCCTTGACAAATATTGGTTTGCCTTTTAAAAAGCTACAAAGCTTATATTTTTCAGTAAGCATAGAATAGTGCACATTTCGTTAAAGGCAATTTTTTTTTAAGTTAAAATCTGGTGAGATTTTTTATTTGAGAGTTTTCTTAGAAATAAAATTAAAAGTAAACCAACAATTATCCGTAGAATGCCCTTACTCTAAGCGTTATTTGAAAAGGAAAAAAAAAGGCGGGGAAAAAAGGAAGGAAAATACTTACTCTTTCAATGGTGATGCCCCAAGTGGCGACACCTGAGGATCGCGCAGCTTGGCCAAGGTCACAGCTGTACCAATACCTCTGATCACAATACCTGACTCGCCTTCCAGATCAAAGCACTGCTTGTAACTAAAATAACAATAACTTAGATAAACAACTAATCAGATGAACTGGCCTCATTACAAATGAGGATAATTTAAGACTGAATGCTCGGACTTAAATTTTGCATTGAAATACAGCGTGTTTCAGAACTTTTTATTTTTATTTAGTTTTATTTTTTTTCTGGAACATCCTGTACATTCAGAATGAAAATATATATTGGTTTAAACAAGAGCTGTCAGAAGCGCACTGTGCTTGACTATTCTCAGTGCTTGAAAGTAAAATAACAGCCTGGATAATGTAGAATTTATGGGGATAATCATGCAAAAAAGCAAATCAGAGTTACGGAAATTGAGCTATTCATGTCAAATTACAGAGAACAAGTGGGTGAAGTTTCAATCCATTCCCTTCAGTAGTTTCGGAGATATACATAAAACTGTAAACACTGGAAAGGTCCACTTCAGTACTACCCGAAAAGCTTCATTTTTAAGATTCACCGCTTTGGCAGAATCTCAAACATAACGGGGCACCTTGGTAAAATATCAATTTTCCATTAACTACCAGAAAAAAGCTTTTTTAAAGATTCAAACCTGTGACATAAAGAGGAAAAACCAAGCAAAAAGGGGAAAGGACCAAGTTATACTCAGTTTGTGTCCTTAACTGCTAAGTTATAGAGAACATATATACAGAAACCCTAAAGAACATCCAAAACAGCAAAATTGAAAATGCTGAAGACTTGGATTAACTATTCATAGACAGTACTAAAAAGTGCAAGCTACCGTCCATGCAAAGCCGTGAGAACCTTCTACTTCTCCCTGTCTTTGCCAAAACTTACCCAATTACAGCACTGCCTCCCATTTCAAGTACCTTAAGGCCAATCTTTCTGGCAAGTTGCCCTAAAAATAATTAAAATAAAACATTAATATGAATACAATGTATTTTACATTGTATACAATGGAACAGAACTTTTATGTACAATAATAATAAATAAATCTATTACACACATTTAGATTTTCTTTTGTATTTCTATCATCAAGCATATGGTTAAAAAAAAACACCAATATATAGATAAAAGTCACTTCAATACAATAGAAATATCAATATCTATTGTTTAATGTGCTGGTTTTTGGGGTTTTTTTTCTTCTTGTATTATGTCACACCAATATAGTAGAAGTTATATGGCAAGTTTCCAGCTTAGAGTAGCAGAGGAAGACCCTTCTTATATATTTTAAGGTGCGTGTATAACCACTGACATTCCATATGCTAGCTGAACAATACTCTATTGCTTGTATGCCCACATTATACAAGATTTGAGCCGCGTCATGACAAAACAAACATAGTGGGTTTGCGACCAGCATGGATTCAGACCAGCCTGCGCCTCTGATCAGGGTCCATGCTGTTCGCTTTCAAACGCTATTACAAGTAGAGAAACTGATAGCGAACAGCATGGATCCTGATCAGACTGTTGGTTTTGTCATGACGCGGCTCATTTATTCTAAAATGAAAACTTTCAATTCAATACTCCTAGCTTACTCAGTCATTATCTCCTATACTAAAACGTTATTGTAAGTTTCATCTCTAGCAGTTCCATTTGTTTTTGTTTTTTACAATAAAAAGTTTAAATACAGCACAAATTATATAAGGACAAATATTTTTTGTCAAAATTCAAATGCTCTTCTTCATGTAACAAACAAGTGGTAGTGACAGGAATAGTCACAAATACACAGTCCTGCCAATGATTTCTCTACAACATGCGAGTAGAGTGACAATAGTTCTGTGAAATTTCTATTGAAACACAAATAGAAAATTGAGTTGCGCCATGAACACAAATAGAAAATTGAGTTGCGCCATGACAAAACCAACATAGTGCCTTTGTGACCAGCATGTATCCAGACCAGTCTGCACATTTGTGCAGTCTGATTAGGATCCATGCTGTTCGCCTACAAACCTTATTACAAGTAGAGAATCTGGTAGCAAACACTATGGCTCCTGATCAGACTTGGCGGATGCAAACGCACTATGTTGGTTTTGTCATGGCACGGCTCATTAATGTAGGAGTTGTGCGAAGAATAAAATTGTTTAAACCAGCTTGCCAACATTTACAAATCAAATAATCAAATAAAAATAACTTTTTTCCATCTGAAAACCTGGTTAAAAAAACCAAAAACAAGCAAGAGCTGTAGGTAGGACAGCAACGCTCGACTATTCTTAGTGCTTGATAGTAAAAAAAACCCAGATTAAAAGGTAAAATTTTCTAAGTAAAGGAAAACGCAAAATTGTTCTTTAAATCCATATTACAGTTATAGGCCTTGGAGAGAGTCCTATTATGCTCTCAAAGAAGAGTATAAAATTTCAACATGTTTCAAAGACTTATGTCAATCAATTTTGAAAATATTTGAGGTATTACAAAAACTTTAACATAAATTCTAAGTCATAAAAGGGGCACAATTCTGTCAAAATGCTTGATAGAGTTACCTCCTCCTGTCTACAGGTTGGGGTAATGATGGTGAACAAGTGTGCTAAGTTTCAAAGCCATATGCCATTTGAAAATATTTAAACTATTACAAAAACTTTAACAAAAGTGGTTACGCCGACGCTCGGGTGACTACAATAGCTCTACTTATTCTTATCAAAATAGTCGAGCTAAAATCGTTCAAGGTCTACCTGACATTTTTGAGAACAGCCTTTGTCTGGCCTCATTTGAGGATCTTGGTGTCCTAATTTTGTCAATCCACTGGTACTCGGGATCGTCATTTACCACTAGTTCCTCAACAAAGCCATGGACATACTGAAGCCGGTAACCAGATGGTACCTCAGCAGCTGAAGAAGATAAGGAATGAAAAACCCCTTTTCTTTAAAAGTCAAAGAACACAACAAAAGCAAAGTTTTCTGAATATTAGCCATTAAAAAAAAAAGTACATTTTCTGCTCTGTTTGTTTAAACAGTGTTTTTTGTAGGGGTGTCACAGTCAGAAAATAACATTTCTGTTTAAACAGCAACCATAACCAAGTTAAATGTTTAACCGACCATCCTTAGATTTTTAATTTTAACTTTGTTTCTTTATGACTGGATATGACATTTTGTTGGTATTTTTGTTGTATCATTATTTTCCGTTTAGGGTCGTACCCTACTCGATCTGATTGGGAAAAAAAACATTGTTGAGTAAAACTAAAATACAAACAAATTGTCTTATCTTGTTAAAAACACTTAGGTAATATTAGAATCAATTTAAAACTTTTTAGCCTCTTTGTCAAAAACCAACTTTGGTTATCTGTTATTGTATTTTCTAACCGGTTTTCAGCTAAAACCTAACCGTAACCATTTAAACAGATATTTGTTACATCCCTAGTTTTTGGACAACAACCTGTAAATCTTTGCCAATTCTGCTTCAGTTCTATTCCGAATATAAGCATACCGGTATCATTTGGTTTATACAGAACTCATTTTTTTGATTAAGTAATATACACTTTCAAATCCATTCCTGGAACCAACCAGTAATGGGCTATGAATGTAAAGTTTCTTGCCCAAGGAAACAATTCAGCCCCCGACAAGGTTTGAACCTATGCGGTTAGCAACCATTAGATTACTAGTGTGACATGTTATCCACTCGGCAAAGTCGCCACTTAAAATCATTTTATGTAAAAGCAGAAGAAATTTTTTTTTAAGTGGCAATTTACTATCATGATCAACATGACTTACAAAGAACTGAAAGTCAAGTGTACAAAATCTATGCTACCTAGGTAGACTTATCAGTTCTTAATAGTCTAGAAATTTCTGGAGATTATATGTATAAATGTATCTTGAGATACAATAAATAACCATGGTCCAGAGACTGATGATATATTAAAGCTGCATGCCTCCAGATAAGCCAAATATTTCAAGAAAAATATACTAATATCTTAAAGCAAAGTAAAATAATTGAAGAGTCAAGTAAAAATTTACATGTTTTGTGAGTTTAACGCATTATTTTGCATATTTTGACTTGTTTTTAGTAATTTATGCGGATTGTAAATGCCATTTGCAATATGTAAATTACTTTCTTTGCTCACTTCATGTTATTTTACTTTTAAATACATTTTCAAGATTTTTATAAAAATTTGCATGAATCTGCATTTACAAATAGCCGTTTATAAAGGGCCATATAACCTGCCAACAATCTTTATAACTAATAGTATAAAGTAAGTCAAGCATTATAAACTGAATTCACTTACTACAAAAGAACTGTATTCCACAGGATGACTGTCTGAACTTATTAAAATCACTGAACAAGTCTATCTTCACTAGAACATTTAAATCTCCACGTATACCTGCAAATACATTTAACTATCAATATTAGGAAACAAAAAAAAACCTCCCTGAACTTAAAGAACCCACAAAAAAACATGTAAAAACACAGCAACAATAAATATCAAAATTTGCACACTAAACGGTTATAAACAATTTTTTTAACAAAAACGTGGAGAAAAGTATTCAAAAAGGTTTCACAATGTAAAATATTAAGTAACTAGAGGATGCTTTTGTAAAAAAGCGCATGTCTCCCCCACTGCTGAGAATAACTGTGAATGGAAACAGGAATGGAAATGGAGATAAAAGAACAGAGTATATAAAACCAGACAACTGATATATCACTGATATATCAATAATAGTTAAATGTCCTCACTGATAAGAACTCTAGTTATCATCCGGAAATGAGAAAATGACCAATGGTCACTGTGACCTTAACCTTTGACCTACTGACCCCATAAACAAGAGGGATCATCTGCTCAATAAGACCAATCATCCTATGAAGTTTGAGGGTTGTAGGTCTAAAGGAACTCTAGTTATCATCCGGAAAGGAGAAATTAACCAACGGTAGCTGTGACCTTGACCTTTGACCTACTGACCATTAAAACAATAGGGATCATTTGATTAAGAAGACCAATCATCCTATGAAGTTTGAGGGTTGTAGGTCAAACGGAACTCTAGTTATCATCCGGAAATGAGAAATTGACCAACGGTCACTGTGACCTTGACCTTTGACCTACTGACCCCAAAAACAATAGGGATCATCTGCTCTATAAGACCAATCATCCTATGAAGTTTGAGAGCTGTAGGTCAAAAGGAACTCTAGTTATCATCCGGAAACGAGAAATTGACCAACGGTCACTGTGACCTTGACCTTTGAACTACTGACCCCAAAAACAATAGGGATCATCTGCTCAATAAGACCAATCATCCTATGAAGTTTGAGGTCTGTAGGTCTAAAGGAACTCTAGTTATCATCCGGAAACGAGAAATTGACCAAACGGTCAGTGTGACCTTGACCTTTGACCTACTGACCCCAAAAACAATAGGGATCATCAGCTCTATAAGACCAATCATCCTATGAAGTTTGAGGGCTGTAGGTCAAAAGGAACTCTAGTTATCATCCGGAAACGAGAAATTGACCAACGGTCACTGTGACCTTGACCTTTGAACTACTGACCCCAAAAACAATAGGGATCATCTGCTCAATAAGACCATTCATCCTATGAAGTTTGAGAGCTGTAGGTCAAAAGGAACTCTAGTTATCGTCCGGAAACGAAGAATGGACGGACGGACTGACGGACGGACGGACGGACGGACTGACGGACGGACAGGGCAAAAACAATATGTCTCCCCCCGAGGTGGGGGAGACATAATAAAATCAACTGATCTTAATGCCAAGGTATGCCAAATAATCTGACTATCTGGGTATGCCAAATTAACTACATGTAGCCATCTGGATATGCCAAATTATCTGGGTATACTAAAATATCTCAGGGCATGCCAAATAATTTTTTACCTAGGCATGCCAAATTAGCTGCTCATTTAGGTATACCAATTTTACTAGCTATTTGGGTGTGCCAAATTAACTTGTTATCTGGACATGCCAAATTAGCTGGTCATTTGGGTATATCAAATTAACCAGCTATCTGGGTATGCCAAATATCTGGCTATCTGGGTATGCCAAATATCTGGCTATCCAAATGGGTATCTTGTTACCAAATTAACTTTTATCTGGGCATGCCAATTTATCTGGCTACCTGGGTATATCAAATTAGTAAGTGAAAATCATACCATGCATGGTGTCATAGATGGGGAACCATCCAGTTATAACAGAGGGACTTTCCTTTACCAACAATGGATTAAGGTCAATATAAACCTTGCCAATAGCATCATGAGCACTGTATGTATCATGGTCCAATACTCTGTATAAAAAATATGAATAAATTATCATACAAATTCCAAATGACCTTGAGTCATAACTATTCGCTACTGTAATAAGTATTAGTTACTGTGAAAGACCCATAACTTAAAATGTGTACTGATTATTGATTGACAGATAAATATTTACAATACATAAATATAGTTTCAATCTGAAAAAAATAATATTGTTGATAGCTCTAATAATAACTAAATAAATTATAGATGATATACTTGGTTCAAGACCAAAACAGGACATATTTTCAGTGTCATAACTATAGTTACTGTCCAAGACCCATAACTCTTCAATCTTTACGTGAATTGTTTTTACCTCAGTTCAAGGGGCTCATCTTGTAGCACTTCATCCTCTACTTCAAATTTGAACCATTCTGAGTTCCATTGTGGGTTCAGTGACCGCTTGTAAACTTCAGTCTTCTGTACCTCACTTCCAAACTTAATCTGTAATGAAGGTTTCAAATATTTGACTTCAAATTAATAAATGTAAACCTCATTGCCAGTTAATATATTACTCTATTCAAATAGACAGTAAAAAATAAGTAGTCAACTGCAAATTCTATAATTCCCTTTAATATACCAATGTTTCAACTGAACTATTCTATCTATTCAAATAATAAATATACATATTTTCCCATAATAAATGTGCAGCCTTATTCAATTCAATGACCCTTGAAATTTGCTCTGCAACTATACAGGCTGAATTTCTCGGCCAATTTACACTATTTTCACCCCTATTGATAAGATGGTCAGTTCTATACTATAAGACATAAAGCTCATAACATCTCACCTCTACAAAAGCATCTGTCAGGTCTGTTGATCTGTCCATCACAGGTAGACCCCGTGCTGCAACAACCTTTACCTTGACCTTGCCAGGCATCTTTTCACAACTGAGTTTTCATGCTGTAATTAAACAATTACAATTATTTTGATAATTTGCGCTGCAATATCAAACCCAAAAATGTGATTGGCTAACTGGTATATGATATAAACTTGGCAACTTTTGACTAGTGATCAAGAATATTGAAATTACAAATTATCAGTCATACATGTACGTAGCTCTGGATTTCAAATTAATACATGTATCTTAAATTCCCTTGTGATCTCTATAAAAATATTCACTGTAAATTCATGTTATTCCTTGTTTCAATGGTTCTGACTATAGCCAGACTGGTTCTCACATTCAAAGTGCGACATATTTGAATATGACAAAGCCGAGAACCACATTTGACTTTGTCAAAAGATTTTGTAAATACAATAAAACAGTGATAATTATAATGTTTATTTCGCATACTGTGTTATTTACATTGAAGATCAAGTTTAAAATTGACCATGATCATGAAGAATAATATGTATTACATGGATGTATTAAAGGATAATGTGAAAATAGTGAACATGGAATAAAATACAAGGTGAGATGCATCATGACAATACCAACATAATGGGTATGCGTCCAGCATGGATCCAGACCAGCCTGCGCATCCGCGCAGTCTTATCAGGATCCATGCTGTTGGCTATCAGTTTCTCTACTTGTATTAGAGTTGGTAAGCGAACAGCATGGATCCTGATCGGCCTTTGTGGTCCCAAACGCACTATGTTGGTTTTGTCGTGATGCAGCTCAAGGTGATTTTGAGAGAAGTGTTTGGATTTTACAAGCAAACATTTTTTTATCTTGTATATTATTATAGACATAGAAATTATTTTTTTCAAAACTGCATATGTTTGGTTTTATTGATATATTTCATAAGTTTATGTGCTGAATCATCAAATATTTATTTTACTAAAGGCGTTTGGAGCTCCATACCAAAAATGTCTACGGCAGTCCTAAATAGATATGTCCTACAAACACAATTGAGCCGCGTCATGACAAAACCAACATAGTACGTTTGCGATCAGCATGGATCCAGACCAGCCTGCGCATCTGCGCAGTCTGATTAGGATCCATGCTGTTCGCTATCAGTTTCTCTACTTGTAATAGAGTTGGTAAGCGAACAGCATGGATCCTGATCAGACTGCGCGTATGCGCAGGCTGGTCTGGATCCATGCTGGTCGCAAACGCACTATGTTGGTTTTGTCGTGACGCGGCTCAAGGTGATTTTGAGAGAAGTGTTTGGATTTTACAAGCAAACATTTTTTTATTTTGCATATTATTATAGACATAGAAATATATGGGTTTTTTTTCAAAACAGCATATATTTGGTTTTATTGATATAATTATTTGATAAGTTTATGTGCTGAATGGTCAAATATTTATTTTACTAAAGGCGTTTGGAGCTCCATACCCAAAATGTCTAAGGCAGTCCTAAATAGATATGTCCTACAAACAAAATTCTTTATCATCAATGTTAAGAATGCACTGTAACCTTGTGTAACCCTTGTATCCCTGTATCCCTTATCATGAGGGGGTGAAAAATAATTAATTATGGTTTTGTGCCTAAAAAAGGATCTCTACAACTTGCAAAGAACTATCTGACTTTGTGTGAAATATCACATCCTTCAAAGGCTCACTATTCAAAACTTTCATTTTAAATTCTGCGGATAATACAATAAATATCTTGATAAATACGGTATATTACATGTATAAAATCATAGGCACAAGGATTCAAAGCTCACAATCTTTTAAAATTTGTGAATAAAAAAAAATTATTTTGTATATATTGTAGCAGGAATGCCTATCATTACATTTTACTGATAGAATCTCATAATCACAATAATGTATTAACAATGAATATTTTTCCTTAGCCTTATTTATTAATTGTCAATACATTTGGTATCTTTTCAAAATCATTCAGCCGGCACTATTTTTCCCATCTATGGTAACAGTAAGCATAACTTAATGCATTATTTCATGATATTCATGCTAGTCATATATCTTATGTAAGGTTTTATGTAATAGAGGGTTGTTAACTAAATTTAACTTAATACACTTCAATACATTTGTACAGCAAAATATTTATTCTTGATATTGTTTTCTCAATATTTTGTAACATTCCTCTTTTTGTTATTTATTTTCAAGTCATGCATTTTTCATGATTTGTGTGATTGCAGAGAGTAGTGGCTAAATAAGCCAGTATTTTCCGTCATTTTATTGCCTTGTCTACAGATACAAAAGGTAGCGTATACCTATTATCACCTGACTTGGTCATTTCTCTCTATTTTCCCTATGTTTTTTTTTGTAATTAATATTTTCATTTCGTTATACTTTAAGAAATAAATTTGATATTTTGGCATAGAAACAGATTATCATAAATCTATTTTGCAATGAAACTATTGAACTCTAAAATGCCTATGTTCTGCATATTTGAATTTTCAATTTAATCTTCAATGAACCTGGGTAAATAACTAGGACGTTAATTGTGATCTCTGTATGTCTGTTTGACGGTCCTGTTACAATATAAAATACTACAAGGTTTCGAAACGGAAGTGCTGCTGTGCGATGACTGGTTTACAATTTCTAATTAAACACTAGTTCCGGCTTTGATGAATATAGACTATAGGCAAATATGGGTACAACAATTATTGACTATTTGCCTGTCGTACTGCATCAACAATATTCTTTTAAATGTGACTGAGGAGCCAGAAATATTTCTTAAAATTTTAAACAGTCAATGCACTTCAGTTGCGTTAAAACATGGCGGCTCCGAAACCTTCTAGTACTTTATATACAAACTATAAAAAATTTTTTTTTAAATAAATTAAAAAGCATAGAAAGTTGTGGAACCGAGTGCCTATGTATACAATATGGTTTTGTTTACGATATCCGAAATGGCAATATCCGAAATATTTAAACAAGTTATTTTAAATAATATGTGAATATTTGCGTAAAGATTTACCTTCGTCTGAATATTAATAAAATGAATAACTGACAACAACCTTTATATATGGTTGACAAATGATAGAAAAACTTTAATCAGAAAATGATTTTTGCAAATCAGTTGTTGTTGTCGCTCCTGTTGTTGTTGTTGTCGCCGCAGCCGCTGAAATAATACCGTACTGTGCCGTATCATACCGTTCATAAGCAAACAGGACTTTCGCCCCCAAACCAAATCGGCCCCAGTCGAAAAATCGGCCCCTGGACGTTTCGGCCCTTGTCCGCGAGACGTTTCGGCCCCACTATAGTGATTTGCTTGATTGATTAACAACAATTAATTTAATTACAATTTAACAAGACCCCGTTCCTTTACAACTCAATTTCTGTAACCACTGAATATAATTATATATAAATTGACTTTTTATAGGTACACATATTATAGATAAACTTTCATATACACACATATGTGAAACACCGTGAATTTCGTTATGAAAGGTTTAAGATAATTATAAATTGCCTCTTGAAAGCATTTTTATGCAAATTATGTACACGCATGTAGTATACATGCAGAGCTTCTATTTTTACCTATCCTTTCATTTGACACTTTAAGCACACTTTTTACATTAGGGTGTTAACATCCAAGTGCAATTAGTGTATTTGGAGCGCTAATAAAGTTTGCTATATCAGTAATAATCGTCTGTGCATCTTTTTAGGAATTGCTCTTATAGTTAAAATCTTTAACTCGAGATTTTTACTGGGTTTACCTATAAGTCTGGATCAAACATCAAATTGGTTGACTTTAAAACAATTGGTTTATAACGTAGAGTTTAACATCATGTATTGTAAATAATGTCTGGCGGTTTGATACGTACATGCAAGATGCCAGTTGCCGATTTCATGGGAGTTGATGTATTTATAAGAGATGGTTTCCTCCCTATCCCTGTTTTCAAATTTTCTTCGACCATCTCTCAGTGGCTCATATATAGCTCCAAGAAGTAAATATACAGTCCTACGATAAAGATATATCTTTGTTACATCTTCTACATTACCCTTAGTTTTTCTAATTACATACATATGTATACTTTTAGCTGTTTCTTTTAATTGTTGTATTTTGCAGACCGGATTCTTAAATGTCTTCTGTTGAATTGTGTGGCATTACTTTTTGTTTTTTGATCTCTGTTGATCCGTGCTTCGACCATGTTACCTATCTCATCGTCTTACCTTGATAACTAAGCAACGTCACCTGCACTTGTAAGTCAGATTTGGAATGAAGTTGAAACCTGTTATCACACCTCAATACATATACATGCAATTGTCCTTTATATACGCTATGGTTAGCTATCCACTTAACGATGACAGTATATAGGTCTTAAATAGACAAGTCAGGTCTTTCTATTCTGGTTTTCGAGAAACGGATGTTGTACAAGAAAATGTTGGTAACCGTAGGCTTTCTGTGCATCTTAAGTTGAAAGAAGCATCATCTCCCAGGAAGACTTAGTTTCAAGTATACACTTGACCAAATGACACAGCTTTATGAAAATCCAACTTCTAAATATGATTGTCTTATAGAATAAGTTTATGTCGATTTGTATGGATTGTTTTTGATACAATAGAAGTTACTGATATACCTCGATAGTTACTTAGGTTGACTGGTTGGCCATTTTTGTAGACTGGGGTAAGAATATTTGTTTTGCTAGATGTATGTGTGCATTTCGATTTTAACAACATTTTTGAAATGATAGTTGGGGTAAAAGTAAAACACATACCCTCTAACCTGAGATGATAGTTTGTCAGTCCATGCAAAACATGACAGAGATTTGTTCTTCTTCAAACCCGAAATTGCATCACTTCCTCCTTCGTGTTCACCTTTTGGATGTAAGATGCACTCGCTGTATCAATTTTACAAGTTCACCTTCTATAGTCAGAATCTCAGTACCTCTCAGTTGATGTGGTTCTTTGGATCTTAGACTTTATAATCCAGTGTCTATTCTAGGAGGGGGGATGGGGGGATTTCACTCATATTTTTGAGAAGCCCCCCTTTTTTCAGAGGCAGGGGAAAAAATTTACATAGAGAAAGAAGGAAGTGGATCAACAAATGTAAAAAATTCTCACTTTTGGATAAAAAATACCCCCCCCCCCCACTTTTTTTTCAAATCCTGGAATAGACACTGATTATCTTTTCTTTTTGATTCTTTCTGATTGCACAATCATTCTTTCTATTTCTCCATGCTTTTACACTGGCATTTAAATCATCTATGATATTTACACTCTGGAATTTTAATGCACGAATTCTTTTCTTTTGTTGGGATTTTTGTGGTATGTTCCTGTTTTTAGAGTTAGTCACCGTGTATTTAAGGGTCTCACTCAGGGTTTTTGACATGAAGGGAAATATTTTTTTTTTCAAAATTCTTGTAAAACTGGCTGTAGGTCTGGACCAAAAATTTGTGAACACAATTTCAGACTATTCGCTCACATTTTCCCCAGGTATAATCACTTTTATTGTGCAATTTGATCCTAGAATGAAAAAGCGTTGCAACGTTTTCATTCAATCGGCCCAATACTCGTATAAAAATTCGATAATCAATTTAATACCGAACATATTTATGGATTACCTATAAAATTTCAAATTTCATGATTTTAGGCTATTGGACTTCAGTGGATTTTCTTTGGTAATGGTTTCAATGAAAGCATTCTAATGACCAGTCAATGTTTGTTGCTTACCAATGCGGCTTAATTATTAATTTAGAATCTTCATTCATTTGTGGAAAGTGAACTGATAATGACGCACCTAGATCATCGGATGTATTTTGAAATTCCTTTATTACGTGCTTGCAATATTGTTTATTAGAATGTAATGAGTTCATACTGACAGTTTTGTATAGTGACAGTAGGACTCGCATGTTGTTTGTTATAAATTTTATGTTACGGAACGTCGGTGGTTCTACTCAGGTGAAATAATGCCCAGAAGGGCAACTGAGGTCTTCCTCCAGCAATAGGACTCGGCCCGGTGAATTTTCGTACTATTAGTTCTATAGTAAATCAGTCAAGTTTGAGGTTTAATTCTGGATTCCACTGTTCTTGATGAATTATATACTGTCTTCAACTTTAAACATTAACACTATCTAAGTCAAATGTTGCCCAAAATATAATAGGTTAGCTATCTACTTTTTTCAGAAATCTTCACTCTGTAGTAACACTGTTTAAATTCACCACTTTAAAAACTCCTGACAGCTGGTGGGTAGTACATCTTTAATCCTTCCACCAACAAATGAGTTCCTGGAGAATACACAAAAAACAACTTTTAAAGTCATCATATAACACACAAAAACTACACACATGCAATAAATACACTTTAATTATGACCAATCTAACTAGAGATGACTTTAATTGGGCCATTTCATAATTTTAAAGAACTACTTTCTAGACTACAATAAAGCTGGGACGTCGCCATATGACCTATACTGTGTTCAATAAATTCTATCGTATTTGAATGATAAGTTAACGACAAAAAAAAGAATAGTGAATGACACTATTATACGTGCAGCAAAATTTTACAGTCAACACGATGTGAAAGATTCGTCTATTTCTGCGAGATATGTGAATAAAAGTAGAATGAAAATTGAATGGCACAATTTTGCAGACGACACATTTGCATCATATATGTTTGGATAGTTTATGCACACAAGATGTGAATAAATCGGTTGTTTCTGCAAGATATGTATTACCACAACAATGCCAAATTCTCCAATCCAAAATGAAAGTACACATGTATAAACGGAAGCATTCGTATGGAGTAAAACCTTAGACCAATGAAAATACTCCGTACAAAAAATTAAGAGGAGAGCACTCTGTAGAACTATTACTTGCATTATGATTTGGAATTTAACATATCGGTAAAAAAGGTTTGTTATAGTTTTATATCATGTTTTGATTGAACAGTTATTACAAACTAGAACTGCCACTATCTTGGCGTGAATACCCCCGCATACCACTTTGTCAGAATCAACAGTGGCCATTTAGAGCGCAAGGACAACCTCCCTGCCAAATCTGAGGTTACTAAGCCAGTGCATTGCTAAGTTATGTATTCTACATGCTTCAAATGTGAAAATGTCAAAATCAATACATTGCAGACAGGACATTCTTTAGCAATTGAGAAGAAAAGCTTTTTTTTTGTCAAGGTCCCTGTGACCTTGAACTTTGACCCAGTGACCTCAAAATCAATAGGGGTCACCTTATAGTCATGATCAACATCCATGCCAAATTTGAAGACTGTGGGTCAAAGGAATCTTAAGTTAATGGGTGGACAAACTTTTTGAAGTCAAAGTCCCTATGACCTTGACCTTTGATCCAGTGACCTCAAAATCAAAAGGGGTCATCTACTAATCATGACTAACCTCCATTCCAAATATGAAGACTGTGGGTCATAGGAATCTTAAGTTATTGGGCGGACAAGCTTTTTGAAGTCAAGGCCCCTGTGACCTTGACCTTTGACCTGGTGACCACAAAATCAATAGGGTCATCTACTAATCATGACTAACCTCCATTCCAAATATGAAGACTGTGGGTCATAGGAATCTTAAGTTATAGGGCGGACAAGCTTTTTGAAGTAAAGGCCCCTGTGACCTTGACCTTTGACCTGGTGACCTCAAAGTCAATAGGGGTCATCTACTAATCACGACTAACCTCAATGCCAAATATGAAGACTGTGGGTCAAAGGAATCTTAAGTTATAGGGCGGACAAGCTTTTTGAAGTCAAGACCCCTGTGACCTTGACCTTTGACCTGGTGACCTCAAAGTCAATAGGGGTCATCTACTAATCATGACTAACCTCCATGCCAAATATGACGACTGTGGGTCAAAGGAATCTTAAGTTATTGGGCGGACAAGCTTTTTGAAGTCAAGGCCCCTGTGACCTTGACCTTTGACCTGGTGACCTCAAAGTCAATAGGGGTCATCTACTAATCATGACTAACCTCCATGCCAAATATGACGACTGTGGGTCAAAGGAATCTTAAGTTATTGGGCGGACAAGCTTTTTGAAGTCAAGGCCCCTGTGACCTTGACCTTTGACCTAGTGACCTCAAAATCAATAGGGGTCATCTACTAATCATGACTAACCTCCATGCCAAATATGACGACTGTGGGTCAAAGGAATCTTTAGTTATTGGGCGGACAAGCTTTTTGAAGTCAAGGCCCCTGTGACCTTTGACCTAGTGACCTCAAAATCAATAGGGGTCATCTACTAATCATGACTAACCTCCATGCCAAATATGACGACTGTAGGTCAAAGGAATCTTAAGTTATTGGGCGGACAAGCTTTTTGAAGTCAAGGCCCCTGTGACCTTGACCTTTGACCTAGTGATCTCAAAATCAATAGGGGTCATCTACTAATCATGACTAACCTCCATGCCAAATATGACGACTGTGGGTCAAAGGAATCTTAAGTTATTGGGCGGACAAGCTTTTTGAAGTCAAGGCCCCTGTGACCTTGACCTTTGACCTGGTGACCTCAAAGTCAATAGGGTCATCTACTAATCATGACTAACCTCCATGCCAAATATGACGACTGTAGGTCAAAGGAATCTTAAGTTATTGGGCGGACAAGCTTTTTGAAGTCAAAGCCCCTGTGACCTTGACCTTTGACCTAGTGACCTCAAAATCAATAGGGGTCATCTACTTATCATGACTAATCTCCATGCGAAATATGACGACTGTAGGTCAAAGGAATCTTAAGTTATTGGGCGGACAAGCTTTTTGAAGTCAAGGCCCCTGTGACCTTGACCTTTGACCTAGTGACCTCAAAATCAATAGGGGTCATCTACTAATCATGACTAACCTCCATGCCAAATATGAAGACTAAGGGTCAAAGGAATCTTAAGTTATTGGGCGGACAAGAAAAAACCGACGGACGGCCGGACGGCCGGACGGACGGACAGCCGGACGGACGGACGGACGGACAAGCTGATTCCAGTATACCCCCCTTACAACTTTGTTGTGCGGGGGTATAATAATAATATAATTTGATCATATTTATATGCGCAATACAATGAAATATTTCGAATAAACTTCCGTTTAGTCGGGTAATTTTGAAGAAAACCCAGCGGTCAGGTCTCTGCCGAGTTACACTTGCGGTGAGTTCGAGATTACATATCTTCTGATAACTTGAAATGATCGTAATGACAGCTTTATTTCCTTTAAGAGTAGTCAATTCCCTACCATTTGGTACCAAGATATTGAAAATTGGTGAAAAAATGTTGAAGTTATGGAGTTCATATTAAGATGAGTGCTGAAAATTGAGCGGCGAGTTGCATACCTTTAGCCTACTAAATATTATATATGTATCAATTTTTTTGTGTGGGAAATGAGTGGGTGTGGGGTGGGGGGGGTGCGGGGGTAGTGACCAATCAACGCGCCGAACACCTATTCTTAACTCAAACAATAGAAAATTTAAGGATATTCTTAATCTTAACAACATGTCAAATATAATAACTCAGCCAACTCGTGTAAGTGACCATTCAAGTACTTTAAATGACCCCATTAATTGCCATTTCTAATAATATTTTATTGCATGACTCTTGAGTTTTTAAAACGGACAATACTATATGTGACCATTATGCTACATATGCTTACATTAAAATTAACTTCAAATTTGATGCCCTCTTTAAACGTCGTGTGTGGAATTACAAAAAAGCTGATTTTAATAAACTGAATACTTGTATACAAACAACAGATTGGTCTTTTCTACATAATAATTCAATTGATACAGCATGTAACTATTTTATTACTAAATTTCTTGATATTGCAAAAAACATGTATACCCACATATTTCGTAACTGTACGTCCTAATGATAAGCCCTGGTATAATAACGAAATTCGAAGAACATCCAGAAACGCGACAGACTAAAACAAAAAGCGAGAATTCTAATAAAACTTCAGACTGCCCAGGACACATATAAACAAATAAGAAAGAAAGTCAACAACGTGAAAAAATATGCTCAAGAAACTTTTTTAAACAATATAGAATATTCATTACATGATCTAAACAAAATTATGAAATGTTGCAGGCTCAGTTTTATTAAGCCATGCAAATTCATGGTAGAGTATTCATAAAAGAATATTGGCCATGTGACAGCAGTAATTGCAGAAAATCGGATAGCTTTCAACATCCGGATACTGGTACACTTTGTAAAAACAACCATTCTGCGCAACAGATAAACGTAATAAGGATGAAATCAATAGGATAATCGTTTACAACAGTTCCATTACCTATCCTTATACTCATTTGCAGGTGAACTTTCTTCTTGTAGGAAATTTTTGAAAATATATAAATGAATGAATGAATGGATACGACATCAATGTAGACCACAACGATATTCGAAATCCGGGTTTTAGTATTGTCAATAAAACTAAGGGACTAGCTGTTGAACTTAACCTGCAAGTTCGTGAAAATAATATCACAATGCACATGCGTTTTACATAAAGTTATTAAATACAAATATAATAACATATTTGTTTACTTGATTTTTACGAATCAAAATAAAACTGATTAACACAACATGACATTAACTGCTAATAATAACAGCTCCTTCCATAGGCCAAAATAAAAAGCATTCCATAAGAGACGACGCCGCTCACCGACGTCGCCAATAACACACACCCATCTCAATATTGGAAACTTGTTAAAATGCTTATTAAAGATAATTCTACTAAATGTGACAAAATACCACCCCTTAAAAATGAAAACAACAGTTATTCTGTATCTGATGAAGAAATTGCTAATACTTTAAATAATTATTTTGTTTCAATCTCCACAATTGATGGCACTAATTCAAATCTTCCAGACTTTTCGTTAAAAACTGATTCTTTTATTGACAATATTCAAATTGCAGAACATGAAATCTCTGATATTCTCTTAAATTTAGTTACCAACAAAGCTAGTGGTCCGGATGAAATTAGCCATCGCATGCTAAAAGAAACCTCAAAAACAATATGTTGACCCCTTTGTATTATTTTTAATAGGTCTCTTCAAGAAGGTTTCTTTCCCAATTGCTTAAAATTAGCTAATGTAATGCCACTATTTAAAAAAGGAGATAAGGGAATTCCATCTAACTATAGGCCTATATCATTAATCAGTTGTCTTGGTAAAGTAATGGAGAGAGTAATATTTAAACATTTATACAATTATTTACATTCAAATGATCTTATCTATAAATATCAGTCAGGCTTTCTTCCTGGACACTCAACAATCTATCAACTTATTGATATGTACATGTACCATCAAATTTGTAAAGGATTTGATGAAAAAAATCAACTTGTATTGTTTTTTGTGATATATCTAAAGTATTTGACAGGGTTTAGCATTCGGGTTTATTATTCAAGTTAAAACAATATGGAATTATAGGGAAAATTAATAAATGGATTGAAAATTATTTAAGTAATAGAATGCAAAGAGTTTTTGTAAGATCTTCATTTGCAGAAACTAAATATATAAATGCCGGTGTTCCTCAAGGCTCAGTTCTTGGCCCACTTTTATTTCTTATATATGTCAACGATATAGCCGAGTCTTTAGAAAGTACTGCAAGACTTTTTGCAGATGATAGCTCTCTTGCAGTTACATCAACTAATATAAATATAATACAAGATGTGTTAAACTCTGATCTACAAAAATTTTCTTCATGATCCCAACAATGGCTGGTAAATTTTAATCCTTTAAAAACTGAAGTTGTTACTTTCTCTTTGGCAGACCGTGAGCAACCAAAACTTATTTTCAACATTTTTACTACATTAACACCAGTTCAAGATCACAAACATCTTGGAGTCATTTTAAGTAAAGACGGAACTTGGCATGAGCATATAACTAACATTACTTCCTCTGCTTCAAAAGTCCTAGGGTCAATGAAAATGCTAAAATTTAAATTAAAACGTACAACACTTAATCAAATTTACATTTCATATCTCAGACCTATTTTGGAATATGCCTCAGTCTTATGGGATAGCTGTACTAATGTAGAGAAAGAAACCCTCGAAAAAATGCAATATGAAGCTGCAAGAATAGTAACTGGTCTTACACGCTCTGTTTCTATTGATAAATTATTAAAAGAAATCGGTTGGGTCTCTTTATCAGACAGGCGGAAAATTTAAAAATTAGCATTAGTTTATAAAGAAAAACATGGGTTTTTACCAACGTATATTTCTAAACTTTTCCCTCCAATGGTCAATGAAAATAATCATTATGATCTGAGAAATAACTCAAACTATTTAACTGTACAAAGACATACAGAAATTTATTCTAGATCTGTAATTCCTTCATGTGTTAAACTATGGAATGAACTTTCACAAACCATTCGCGATGCTCCAAATCTTTCAAATTTCAAAAATTTAATGAAAAATCATTTTAACCACAGGCGCTAGTCACATAATCAAATTTTACATAATCGGTCTATATATGTATATAAATATCTTTATATACATATATACTGCAGTAGACCGATTATGTAAAATTTGATTATGTGACTAGCGCCTGTGATTTTAACCGCCTGTTGTTCCTAAATTCTTTTTAAGTGGGGATCGTACTTTTTCTGTTCATCATGCTAGAATAAGAAATCAATGCAGTAATTTAAATGCAGATTTGTTTAGGAATTACTTACGTCAAAATCCTTTCTGTGACTGTGGTAATGGAGAAGAAGATGCAGAGCACTATTTATTTAAATGCAAACATTTTACTGAACAAAGACTTAACTTTTTTTAGCTACTAGACCTTTTCACCCCATAAATACAGAAGAACTCTTATTTGGAAACCCATTACTTAATGATGTCGAAAATGAATTTGTTTTTTGTGAAGTACAAAAATTTATTAAACATTCTAAAAGATTTTTATAAATTGATCTATACAAGTAAAAACCAGATCAGGACTTGAACCTGAGACCTTCCTATAACCATGTCCATACAAAGTCTAGGCTGCTCTACCGGCTGAGCTATCTGGTTAAATTGTAATGGTATATGTTTTTTTATCTCTTTAATCTATCCACTTTCTACAATTTTTGTTCAGTACAAAACAAAATCCAGGTCACTCATACAGTCATAGACAGTCTTCATTATGTTCCGCTTTTATTCTTATTCTAAAGTGGTACCGATAAATACATGTAAATACTTTACTTACTTCAATTGACCGCTATTTCCATCTGTCAATGATTATAAAATTCCAAAACATTATGTAGAACTTACAATGTGTTTACAAATATGTCAATTCCTTGTTGACACACGTGTACGTAAAGTAGATATATGACGTAAAATATCACACATCATCACTGTCAATTTCATGGGACAGGCAACGAAGGGGATTTTTTTTCTTCTCTCTCTCTGTTAATTTTTTTTTTAATTTGTCAAGCTAAATAATTTCCCATTCTACCCAGGGTCTAAAATTTCTATTTGAAAGACCCTGTTCTATCTTAATTCTATGGAGCATTTTAATTGATAATTTATAAGAAATATGTAAGTGTGTGTGTCTGTGTGTGTGTGCGTGCATGCGCGTGCGTGTGTGCGTGTGTGCTTGCGTGCGTTGGTGTGCGTGTGTGTGTGTGCGTGCGTGCGTGCATGTTTTGATTTTTTTCTCACTTCCACTTGTGTAACTATTCTTATGAAACTATCCGGAATATATGTATTATAAAGTTTGACTTTGTGGGAAGGGCTGTTGCTAATGTTGTAATAACTTGTAGCCCAACCCATTTGCACTATACTTATATGTACATTTGATTTTTTTTTTTGTGTTATTCATATCTTACATGTATTATATAGTTGCAATAAAATATTATTAAACTAAACTACAGAAATTAAAATTTTGTCTGGGATGCTACCTTATTTACAATCGCCCAGAACTTATCCATCAAAGGTTTTCAGGGCATTTGTGGATATGTTGCGGATGAATACATGGCATTATTAAATCGTCTTTAGCGTATTAGTTTTGGTGCCCGGGCAGCTTTTAAGAATAAAGTCTTGCTCTGCTTAAATGGTTGCTTGTATTTACATGTACTTCTTCTGGAAGCTAAACGTAATCTTACCATATAATGAATTAAATATTGCTTTACTAGATTGTTACAACAATATCAATATTTAGTAAGATTATAGCGCACGAAATCATTGTAAGATATAATGGTAAAGATTCGAATATATTTCCGTCTGTCACAAAACTTGTCCCCACTACTCCTCATAACTACTGGGGCAATTTCATTCTAACTTTACAGGAATTTATGTCGCCACTACTCCAATCACTTCTCCGTCTGTCACAAAACTTGTCCCAACATGAAATTGGCCATCATGAGGCGATACATATGATCATTGATCGCTCTTGTTTTCTACAACATTTTGTAATGTTTACCTGCCACCGCTTCTTAACGTCATTTGATTGGCTAAATTTACATCTACAAAAAGTTTCTTCCCCTGGTCCCTCTCTTTTTCTGTTGCAAGATTCCGGTCCCCAGCTGACAACAGTTGCTGGGAGTTGGCCTTGGGTTGCTTGTTTTGTTTGTTTGTTTTATTTTACGCCTTTTTCCAACAGTATTTCAGTCATATAGGCGGGTAGTTTCCTAACCATCGTTCCTGGAGAGTTACACCAGTACTAGACTCCCTTCCTCCGCGCTAAACTACCAAAGCATCTCCCGGGGATCGAACCCACGCCAGAGAGGTTAATGGATTAGAAGTCATCGACTCTAACCCCTCGACCACGGAGGGTTGCAGATATTGGTCCAGGTTCAAGTTGACCTTGGCGGCTGTGCCAGTGGCTGACAGCAGTATTAATTCATCACTTAAATTAATACATGAATAGAAAGTAAAATTTAATCTTACTTTGTCCCTAGTAAATTATTGATATGAAATATATTTCATTTCGGAGCCAAAATTTCAAATATTTTAACAATCAAAGTATGAGTGAAAATTTTTCAACACAATAGTAGTTCAACCCTTAGTCATAAGTTTAATCACAGGCCAGTCTGAACAGCTCGGCAGTGTGACCATGATCTATGCTGTTGGTTGACCAACTTCAAATTTATAACTTCATATCCCTATAATTAATCATGTAAAGTTCTGAAACTGAAAGTCCATTCAAGTAATTCAGTAGGTTAAATATATTTACATGAAAATATTATGTACAAGACCAACATAAATATACATTTACCAGATAGAAGTTAATTCACAGTAACCAATGACAGCATGACAACCCATGGCGCGGGTATGCGAACGAATCTCAGTACGTATCTCATTCCACCAGGCATCTCTCGTCTCCGGCTCCTCTATAATTAACACACATAATATGAGCCACGACATGACAAAACCAACATAGTGGGTTTGCGACTAGCATAGATCCAGACCAGCCTGCGCATCCGCGCAGTCTGGATGCGCAGTCTGATCAGGATCCATGCTGTTCGCTTACCAACTCTATTACAAGTGGAGAAACTGACAGCGAACAGCATGGATCCTGATCAGACTGCGCGGATGCGCAGCCTTGTCTGGATCCATGCTGGTCGCAAACCCACTATGTTGGTTTTGTCATGGCACGGCTCAATTATATACTGGAAGTGCTTTATATATCATAATTTATTACTTGGCAACATTTGTATTTCTTGGAACAAATTTGAAATTTTGGGAAAAATTGACTCTAATCTGGAGGCACGCAGTTTTAAGATGAGCCAGACTAAAAAAGTGTTGGGAGCGCCGAACTAATATACCGTATTCCGGTATATACCGGAGAAGGCACTTGGATGATTAAATGCTCAAATCTTGCCTTTTCACACATAAAATGCACTTTCAAATGTCTAACTCATCTGTTCACGCTTATTTATATATGATAATGAATGAAAAACGTAAGAATCAGAATTCTTTTACTTCATGATCAAGATATATGCAACACACCTAGAAGAACTGCCCTAACACTGCAGTGAGTTAAATCCCTTTAATATCTTGTGAAAAAAGACTAACAACAAAATTTATACAATTGTTAATACTACAATGTACATGTATAAAAAAATATACGAACCTGGGTTGTGTATTTTATCTAGAAGTTTTATGGACCTGGCAGCAACCACACCACCTATATGTATGATAAAACCAGGGGGAAAAGATGTCATTGTAAACAATGGATACTTCTGAAAAAAAAAATGTCATCAGAAGTTATAAACTAAACCCATTTCAGTTCAAGTAACATACTTGAAGTAAATTGTTTCATTCAAATTGCATACTCTAGAAAATTAAGTGTTTGGGTTTTTTTGTTGTTTTTTTTTGTTAAAAAAAGTTTTTTTTTTCATATTTCTTTCAATATCTTATGCAAATTTGCCTAATACTACAGGTTATTCTGATGGAAAATCAAATTTCAAATATCAATTTATCTACCAGTAAACATAACTGCCTGGCATAACTTAAGTATAGATTTTGAGTGGTCAAGGCCTGTTGTGTTTTCCAGGCATTATATTTAAATAAATCCTAGATCCACTCCTACCACAACCTACTGTATGACATTATAGTATTCAGTATGATTAAGGTTAAAGGGACAAAGTAACTTCATCAAATCTATCTAAAGAAGGTATATGGAATATAAACTAGCACACAAGATGTCAAGTTCATGAGTTCAAGGTCGTACCATAAGTTCAATATTACGTTCAAGGTCATACCATAAGTTCAATATTAAGTCCAAGGTCAAACCACAAGTTCAATATTAAGTCCAAGGTCATACCATCAGTTCAATATTTAGTTCATGAGTTCAAGGTCATACCATAAGTTCTTTATTCAGTTGAAGTACAAACCATAAGTTCAATATTAATCTGCTGCGAGCATGGTTTGGGGAAATTTTTGGTTCCACTTCCGCTCCCACTTCCACTGCTTCCAGCAAGACTGCTCCCTAAAACATGATACAATGTTACACATGTATTTGATAATGATACATCTATAGAAGATGGGTAGCTAAATTTTACTCCTTTCTTTAAGAATACAATGTACTTTGTTTTTAAATTGTAACAAAAATCTTATAATATCTAATACTCAGTAAATTTAGGCAAATGTAAAAAGATGTCCTCATGGCAAAAAGCTGTTATATTATTAGTTATAACGATTTTTGCAAGCTATAAGGTCCTATATAAAAGGTTGTTTGTATAATAGCAACTTGGGTTATATTGCAAACAAGCGTTTATATATGGTAATATAACCTGTCTCAAATTTGTAATAAAGAAAACTTCTATTTTGAGACAAAAAAAGTGAGATTTCTTCATAAATTGATAGCAGTCGTGCATATAAACTATATAAATGTCACAATTATCCAATGGAAAGAGATGTTACAAACTTGCAGTATTATAATAATTGTTATAAAATTTCATAAGATATATATAATACATGTATATATAAAAGAATCATTTTTCTTCTTTGATTGGTCAGTTTTAAGTAGCACCGACTCTTGTAAGGTCATATGGCAATTTGCAGAGGAAGACTTTTTTTTTGGTTAGGCTTTATGGGTCTCATACTCTGTTCAAATGGTGTCTTTTTAGCTTTTCTAGTGGAGGTTTAGTTATGATTTTAGTTTAGGAATTATTTTCAAAATTTAAGTAATAATATCTCTTAAAAATGAAAAAAAATATATCTAGAACTTACCTTTAGGCGGAGTGCTTATATCTGAATCTGAGGACCTCCTATTGTTTGGCGGTCCACTTGGAGGCCCCGTAACTTTCATAGGGGAGGTTGTACTACGTGCATGTGATACTGGTGGGGAGGAGGGCGCTAGGTTTTCCTCTGGGACAGGAGAGCTGTAAGTGAAATCAAAGGCAAAATGCGAACGCTCAGAGCTGTGATCTGATGGTGATAACTTAGACATGGGCGGAGCCGTTAGAGGATGGGTGTGGCTAATTGTGAGTGATCTTTGCCTAGGTGAGCTAGGGGTGGAGTTATTTTCTACAGTGTGTGCAACAGATGTGCTCATTTTAGTAGAATGACTGTTTGATGTGAGTGTGTTGGAAGGTACCGGTGTTAGGGGGTGTGAGTGAGGAAGGTGTAAAGAGCGTCTATGGGCATGTGACTGGGTGTTACTGGTTATAACCAGTGGCATGCTGATATACAGAGCTGGCACGATAGGTCGCTGGTAACTGAAAAGAAAAGAGAAATGCAAAATGCACTAAATATCAGAGGATTAGTATTCTACATGTAACATATAATTCCAAGCAACAAGAAGTTTGAAAAAGACATTCTAGTAAAAAAAGGAGTAGATAAATGCAGAGCTAAACAATGTCAAACCAAGAAATCTGTCAACTTGCATGCATTTCTTAAGAATTCTCAATACAAGGAAAGCTATTTACTTAAGCTGCATTTTTACGAAGAAAGTATTTATTTGTATAATGCACTTGTCTTACAGAAGGAGAATAAAAACATAAATATCTGAAAAAGTTATTTTGATGTTTGATGAATTTGTTATTCATTAATAGGCTGATGATATAGAATGAGGTTTGTTTTTGTACTTTTAGTTTAGCAATAACAAACTAACAATTGCTCTAATTAGTACCAAAGAAAACATGCAAACCATTAGTGAAGTTACCCTAGTAACCACAAATTTCTGTTTCTAGTCCAAAGCCAAATATCACCTCAGCCCCCTACCACCAAAATTTATATAAGAATTAAGTATTTCATCATTTGGTTAACCTTTCCCCAGTTAACAATAAGTGTATGGTCACATTTTCTGGCTATTTTCAATTTATGGGCAGTAACAATGACTGTTGCATTGAGAAACCTGCGATTATTTGCCCTCATTATTGACAGAATGTAAATCTTGAATGAAGATGGACAAAGTGCAATAGACTTACTCCAGGATTAAGAATATTTTGGGTTTTTCCTAGTTAATTCTGGGGTATGACCAAACACTTACAGTTACAGCTTCAAAAATAAGCACATCAGGTTAACCAGTAGTGCACAGTATAAGTTTGTTTGAACCGGATATTTAGCATGGAAAAGAACCCACATTTGCCAAGTTCAAGATAACATCTATTTAATTCAAATATCCTATGCTTTAGAGGCCTAAACATTTTAAAATACTTATTCTATTGTCTAGATATGGCAGTAGAAAACAGGTTACAGTTTTAATATTACAAAAACGAACTTTACATACTGGTCAATAAAAAAAAAATCTTTAGAGAATAATATTGGATAATTGAAGTGTTCAGAAAGAAATGAAAACGAGACAAACTTTCATTTTTTTTTGAAATGGGCCTTAAATATACACCAGCCAAAATGAGGTCACTTGGTCATGAATGAGGTCAGTTAATATGTAAGATTGATTATTTAAATGATTAGATGAGCAGTATTAGAAAAAAATATTTTTCCAGTTGTATAGTACAAAAAGGTGAGGAATCAAAATCTAGAAGGTGAATTAAATAAATAAATGTTAATCAAACTTATTAAAGCAATGAAGATTGTCATACCAAAATAATTTGAATACGTTGACCCAAATGACATTACAAAACTCCCATGCAAAGAAAATGTTATCTTTTATATAGATACAAAATATCAGATGCCTAAACACTATTTTTAATCATTGAATTTCAAATTTCTGACCTTGACCTTTGACATTTTGTATTGAATTTTAAGTATCAGACCTCCATACATGTATTTGGCAATGTACAGTATTCTTTCAACTAACATAATGACTTAAATATCTATCACACATCCACTGAATTCAGAAGAATCAAGGCCAGACTTTTAAACCCATTTTCAACCTTTGACATTTTTAAAATAATGACCTTGTAGGCTTTGCAATTAATACACCCTCCAATCTCTTTAACAAATGTGTATGGAATTTCTAACTAAAACCTCAAACCAGTGACTGAAAAATGGCCAAAATTATTATTGTACTTAGCTTGAAATACAATTCTTGCAATTACTGGTTAAGCCAAACTTAACTATGTAGGAGAAACTGTATTCTTGTATTTCAATTTCAAAGGACTTACAGTTCTATAAATAGTAAACTGTCCATATGACCTATAAAAATGTAAATTGCAAAATTGACAGGACAGATAATATTACATTAACAAATAAACAATATAAACATAATTTCTATCTTGTTATATCCCTGCTTTTCAATTGACAAATAAAAACTAAAAACTTGTTTCATTTCTTAACAGTGAAAATAAAAGACAAAGATAATGACAAAGAAAAGTTAACAATCAAGACAAAATACATCAATAAAGATCAAAGTTAACAGAAAAGACAACAGACAACAATAATGACAAAAGTTAACAAGGAGAACAAAATTCAGCAAATTAGACCAAAGTTAGGAGAAAAAAACAACAATAGAGACCAAAGTTAACAAGGAGGACAAAGTTAGGAAATTTAATCCAAACATGATAAAGAAGAACAAGAGCTGTCCGTAAGACAGCGCGCTCGACTTTTTTAGTGCTTGCCTATAATACAAAACATTGACAGTTAAGGGCCATAATTCAAATAAAATCTTTGACAGAATTACCTTCTCCTGGACATGTTTGGGAATCATGATTGTAAACAAGTATTCCAACTTTCAAATTAATATCTCAAACAGTTCAGTCAAAAAGTGGACTGGTACTAAAAACTTAACCAAGATTCTAAGTCGATAAAAGGCCTTAATTTTTAAAACAAATCCTTGAACAGAGTTACCTTCTCTTGCGTACAGATGGGGGTAATGATGTGAAATAGCATTAAAAGTTTCAAAGCAATATCTCAAAGGGTTAAGGCAATAAGTGGATTTTACCCATATTCAATGTATTTTCTAAGTCAAAAAGGGGCATAATTCTGTCAAAAACCTTGACAGAGTTATGTCCTCTTGTCTGTTGATGAAGGTCGTGATGGTAAACAAGTATGGTCAGTTTCAAAGCAATACCTCCAATGGTTTTTGAAATAAAGTGAGGTGGTACAAAAAACTTAACCAAGCTCAATACACTTTCTAAGTCAAAAAAGGGCCATAATTCTGTCAAAAACCTTGACAGAGTTATGTACTCTTGTCTGTAGATGGAGGTTATGATGGTGAACAAGTATGGTAAGTTTCAAAGCCATACTTGTAATACTTCTGAAATAAAGTGGGGTGGTACGAAAAACTTAACCAAGGTGTGACGCCAACGCCGACGCTAACGCTAACGCCGACGCCGACGCCGGGGCGAGTAGGATAGCTCCCCTTTTCATAGAAAAGTCGAGCTAAAAATACAACAATGTAGACTAAAGTTGATAAGGAAGACAAAGAGCAAGGGTAGGCAAAGGATAGGTAGAAAGACCAAAGGAAACACATTAGATCCAACTTTTGAGACCAAAGAGAGTACAAAAAGACCAAAGTCAACAAAGGAAACCAAAGATAACAAGCATTTGATAGTATTGCGGGCAATACAGTAGTCCCCTACCGGTCCCTCAAAAAGTTCTTTAATTGTCATACACTCCTGTGTATTGCCATTTATAATGAATTTGAGGATGAAGTCTGTATTTGAAAATATCGACCACAAAACATAATAAAATAAGTTTGTTTATATCACAGTAATGTGTTAAGTTTCCATGCTTAGTAAGGAAATTATGTTTATACAACCTTGTCATATTATTACGATGTGGGATTTTAAAGTAAATCCTATAAGGAATGAAGCAGTTGGAGTGAAAATACCAGTTTCTCGAAAAAAATCTAAGTTCAAGGGGGACATAATTCTGGAAATAGTCTTGCTAGAGTATTTAACCTTCTCAAAAATGTCGAGTGATAATAAGAAACATATATATGAAGTTTGAAGTAGATACATTAGGAAATAAAGAAGTTATTTAAAAAAGACAACATTTTTTTCCCCTAAAAAATCTAAGTTCAAGGAGGTAATATTAATATTTTTTGTGCTAGAGTTATAAACCTTGTCACATATGATGTGGTTGATGACCAGGAACTTATATTTAAAGTTGAAGTAAACACCTTAAGAAATAAAGAGAACATATAGTGAAAAAGCTGAAAAATTTAAATCAGAAATCTTGAAATTCAGGCTATTTGTTGCCATAGCAACCAGAATTTTCAACATAGGAAGAAAATAAAAAGATGTGCATAATCTCCAGACTGCCATCTACCCATATTTCAAGTTTCATAAAAATATTTTCAGTACTTTTTGAGTTATCACTGGATCCAGTTTATGTGTTAAATTTGCCATATTTTCAGACTATTTGTTGCCATAGCAACCAGAATTTTCAACATAGGAAGAAAAAAAAAAGACGTGCATAATCTCCATACTGCCATCTATCCATATATCAAGTTTCATAAAAATATTTTCAGTACTTTTTGCGTTATCGCGGGATCCAGTTTTGTGGACGGACGGACTGACGGACTGACAGACAGACAGACAGACGGACAGACAGACGGACAGACAGACAGACGGACAGACGGACGGAGGGTAAACCTAAAGTCCCCTCCGGTTAAACCGGTAGGGGACTAACAATTATATAACAGAGACAAAGTAGACCAACAAAACAAATTTAACAAAAGACATCAATGAAGACTTAAGATATCAAAAAGACCAAAAACAACAAGGAGAACAAAGAAAAGAAAACATTGATAGAAAAACATCAATTTACAACACAGACAGACTTTTTGGAAAGACAGCAGAGTACAACAACAAAAACTGAACATTAACTAGAACTGCCACTGTCATGGCATGAATACCCTCGCATACCACTTTGTCAGAATCAACAGTGGCCATTTAGAGCTCAAGGACAATGTCCCTGCCAAATCTGGACCAGTGCATTCTAAGTTATGTATTCTACATGCTTCAAATGTGAAAATGTCAAAATCAATACACTGTGGACAGGCATTCTTAAGCAATTGAGGGGAAATTTCTTTTAGTTGACCTTATACCCAGTACCCTCAAAATCAAAAGGGGTAATCATGACTAACCTCCATGCCAAATATGAAGACTGTGGGTCAAAGGAATCTTAAGTGATTGGACGGACAAGCTTTTTATACTTAAGGCCCCTGTGACCTTGACCTTTGACCCAGTGTCCCAAAAATCTATAGGGGTCATCTACTAATCATGACTAACCTCCATGTCAAATATGAAGACTGTGGGTCAAAGGTTTCTTAATTTATTGGACTGACAAACTTTTTAAAGTCAAGGTGGCTGTGACCTTTGACCTGGTGACCTCAAAATCAATAGGGGTCATCTACTTGTCATGACTAACCTGCATGCCAAATATGAAGACTGTGGGTCAAAGGAATTTTAAGTTATTTGGCGGACAAGCTTTTTGAAGTCAATGCCCCTGTGACCTTGACTTTTGACCTGGTGACCTCAAAATCAATAGGGGTCATCAACTTGTCATGACTAACCTGCATGTTAAATATGAAGACTGTGGGTCAAATGAATCGTAAGTTATTGGGCGGACAAGCTTTTTAATGTCAAGGCCCCTGTGACCTTGACCTTTGACCTGGTGACCTCAAAATCAATAGGGGTCATCTTCTCGTCATGACTAACCTCCATGCAAAATATGAAGACTGTGGGTCAAAGGAATCTTAAGTTATTGGGCGGACAAGAAAAAACCGACGGACGGCCGGACGGCCAGACAGCCGGACGGACAAGCTGATTCCAGTATACCCCCCTTACAACTTTGTTGTGCGGGGGTATAAAAAGAGGTCAGAGGCAAGGAAAAAAGCCACACCAAAGACAACAAAATAAGTACATTATACAACAAATATTACTATCCTACTGACATGACATGTCAATTTTCACAAAAATATAAAAATATTAGTTATCAAATAAAAACATTAATATTGTTATTATAATAGCAGATGAATTGGTTTTTAAGAGAAAAGAAAGATACACAATTAAAGAGAAACAATTTAAATTTAAGAACAACAACTAATGTATTTGTCATGCACTTATATTTATTTATTAATTGATGATAAATTTATTATGTATCTCTATTGAAGTACATTGTATATATAATTTATATATTCATCCTGTGTAGAAGTAACTTATGTAAAGTGATTAATTTCTGGAACATTCAAATCAGCATCAGCCAGAAAGTAAATATTTATAACCCCTCAAGTGGAACCAACTGTTTCCATAACTACCAAAGTTAAACTCACCTATCTGATATAAGAGAATAGAAAGAGGTAAAGCAGGTTTACAACATACTATATTACTCTGTAGCTCCCAAGTAACTTAATACCCTTGCAGAACAAATCATAGGCCAGAACACTCCTTCTAGATGGGTCATTTGAACAGAAGCATTGAAAAAAAATGTTTATTAGTGCCTAACTGCTTAAAAGTTATAACTGGAAATAATTTGTTTGAGCATTGGAAATTAGATCAAATGAGTTTAAACTGGACAAATTTTCAAAAGTTTTCTGGAAATATGAACTTTTAAACATGTTTTTTTTTTTCATGATTCAGTTAAAATGGAGGGAACTACATGTATATAGCCATTTCTAACAGTAAGTAAAAATGTATTTTTATTTTTTAACACTTATTATTTTAGTTTTTTCAAACTTTCACTGTCTCGGTGATTATATTTCTACATACATGTACATGTAACTTTTCAATATTAATAGTAAATCTTTTTCATTTTTAAATAATGGTGGTAAATTTTAAATCAGAGATTATAATTTTCCATTCAAAATATTGGTGATTGAAACAGATTCCATATCAAGCAATGCATTTCCAAATTCACATTTAATAAAATTCATAATATGCCTTAATTGTAATTTCTTGTCACTCATGTACATATGTTTATTTTTTCAACATATTAGGTTGCAAACTTTCAAGTCTTGGAGTCACATGAGATGTTTCAACTCAAAGGATGTCAGATGAGGGAAAAGTGTTAAATGTACTGTTGAATACAGAATGCTTACAGAACTATCTTGGTAATAATTTAGTTTGTTTTGTTGAAAGAAGTCGAAGTAACATGTTTTCATATAAATGCATGCTTTTTTCCAAAGTCTGAACAAAATGTTGTTCTTCATGTTTTATGCATATACTTATTGTTATACTGACTCCACTGAACACATCTCAAACTTTCAGTGGCAATTAAGTACGTCTTGTGAAAGATTGAGTAATTTAAACTGCCATTACATAAAGTTGTCATTATATAGATATAGGAAAAGCAGGGATATATAATTGACACAAGTTTTTCATAATGTTGATTTTGACCAAAAATAAATTATTTTCATCAAAGCATGGTTCTTTGCTGATATTCTGCAAAAATCATTTAATTGTAATTTCTCCATCTTAACTTTTTTCACCCTTTCATGTTTTTTATCAATCATGTTTAAACAATTCTAATTATATTGACATTGTGCATGTAACACAAGTACATGTATTTATATACAAATAATTCATATTTTTCAGTATCCATGGGAGAGGTCACACCACAAGTCAAGAAGATGTTGCATCATGTGAAGTGAAGGATATATACATCTGTACTAGATGGATGTTAAATTACATTTGTTTGAATGAAACACTCTGACTTAGAAATAATTGTGAAATGTGCAAATTACGTATAAGTTAGTGTTTAATAATACGTAATAACAAAAATAATTGGTCAAGCCTGCAGCAGGCAGGTGACCAATTATTTTTGTTAATGCCTATTATTAAACACTAACCTATTTAATGATCAACATTATTTTTTTCAATCAAAAACAAAGCATTCCTCTAAGTCACCGATATCTCCGCCCTTTCGCTCTACAAGATGTCTACACCTTGTCAAGTTTCTAGCATGTCACATTAAAATGGCCCTTTCACATATAATCAGGCACATATTTTACTGAAATGTCACAGAATTTATACCTTTATCTACAGTACCTCTATCATGTTTCTATTAAATATCTGAAACAAAAACAGCGAGGAAGGAAAACGATGCAATTAGGTAAAAACAATGAAGTTAATGAAATGTGTACATCCTTTTAAAATAATGGAAAACGTGAGCGAAATACACTAGAGATAATTTGTTATAAATTCAAGTTATTCACTAACATTTAAAATCCCTATTGATTTTCTCTTTTGAATAACAGTTCTTTTTTTCTGTGTGTCAATTTTGGTTTACAGGTGGAGGGGGTCCATTTTCAATGAGTTTTCCAGCCAAAAAATGTAATCATTGTATCTTTAAAATCAAGGATTGTTAATGCAGCTCATTCCTATCAAGTGAAAGAAAATATTTTTGGGTTACTTTTTTCTAGAAAATATAAAGTTAAAACAGTCAGACATTTTTTTTAGAATTAAAAGGATATAAAAAGTTACTATGTAATCATTTGTCTCTGCCTGCCCACATGTATTATCTATGTAATAAATCAATTGATTGTATCCTCACATTTAGAAAGCCTATTTTTTTTTTACGTTGGCATTGTTTTGCTAACCTATATATTTTATAATTCAGAGTGTAAACCATACCTCTAACTCCTTCCTAATATAATGCATTATTGAAGTTTGTTAGACTGGTTAGACGACAGATTAAGTAAATTTTATTTAGTTAGTACACATTAACCAAAGTTAGACTTAGCATAAATTTGAAAAATACTACGTGATTGGACAAAAAATAATGTTGATCATTAATATAAGTGTTTAAATTCTTGACAACTAGAGTGCTTTTTTGGATTTGCTAATAAAACCACAAATGCAAATTAAAAGGTCAATTGATTTGAGTATGCAACCATCATTTCAGTAATCCCAAAATGTCAGAGTGAATTCCATAGCATTTCCAGAATCATCCAGAGTGAATTCCATAGTAATTCCAGAATTCTTTCAAGGCTAATGGCATCTTACTCCAGAGCCTATTTTTAACTGCGGATTTTTTTCCAGAGTGGCTCTGGAACATTTTCCAGAGTAACTCTGGAACATTTTTTCCAGAGTATTATGTCATTTTAGCAAAACAATTTCCAGAGTTGCTTTAAAAACTCTGGAACATCTTCATGGAAAACTCTGGAAAAGTTTCATGAAAAAAGCTCTCGAACTTTATGGAGAAAGTACATGAAAATTCACATTTTTTTTTCAGTTTTCTTTGAACAACTCCGGAAACTTACGTCCGAATTATCCAGAGTTGGCAATTTCCATGAAAATTCAGGAAGTTTTCATGGAAATTCATGGAAAATGTACAGATGGGGAGTTATTCCCCTTTATCTTTTCAGTAAAAACCAAAAGAGGAAGTAAAAAATGTAAAATTTCCTCCTTTCTTGTCAAACAGAAAGTCAATACCATTTTTGGATTATCTTCAAAACTTAGTGTCAAATTCAACTATCAAAGTACGTTTAAGATTTTTTCTTAAAAAGAAAATTTCATATTCATATTTAACAATTTTTTAAGAAAGTATTACATGGAATAATTTATTAGATAAGTTGTCAGTTAAATTATCTCCTTAGTCAAATTATTCTGCTTCAAATTATAATTCAATGTACTGTGAATATTAAAAACATAAAAACTGAAAATTTATCAAACAATTAACTATATTGACATATAATTAAGACTTTAACAATTTTTATGTGACTGTAGAATGCAAAAAGCTGACAGTAATTCAAGGGATATAATTCAATCAACTTTTAATTAAACATTATTTGTCTTTCATATTTTTAACCAAAAATGGAAGTAAGTAAGGTAAAAAAACATAATTTTTTTAAAGGCCTATTGTGTATTCTATCCCCTCCCCCACCCTCCAAAAAAAAAGGCTTTCATTTTTGTATTTATTTTTGGTGTCATATTGCAATTTGGACAAAAGTACTGCTTGAAAATATACCTGAACTATCTTTTTCTTTTTTTTTGCAATTACACAATGACAGTTACAGTGATTTAGTCTTTCACAGTTTTACTGCAGTATACAGAAGTATAGCATATTATCACCAAGATTGTCATTAAAGCAGCATTCTGTTTTGTTTTCTGTTGGAAAAACAATACTGCCTTGTTTCAAACTAAGTATTTCAGTAATTTTATTGTGGAAAAGTGCATCATATCACTGTTAAACCTTCTTGAAACAGCATCCCAAGAGCTATTTATAAAACATAATTGACTTTTTTCTAAAAAAAGAAGACAAGGAAACAACTTGTCTGCTTTGGTAATTTAGATAATCAGGAACCGGTTGAACCCGGTGATACTCCCCGAGGTTTTGAACACAGGAAAGTATAAAAACATGTATAAAGGGCAAAAACTCCAAAATTAGGCAAGGCAGAGTTATGGTGTTTTGTGCTGCACTTCTATTCAATGAGATCTATCTATCTATAAAGTTTCATGATGATATCTCTTATAGTTTCAGAGTTATGTCCCGGGTAAAATTCAAAGTGTAACAAGAGCACCGCTAGGCGGAGCATCATATACCCAAAAGTGTGTTTTTTTTAGTAAGGATGAAGCATTTGTAAGACATGGGAATTAGCTGTTCATCTTATAAAATTTTACAGCTGTAGGTTGATTGTAACTTAAGTTATTAATAATGACCTTAACCTTTGACCTTGTGACCCTAAAATCAATAGGGGGTCTTCTTCCCAATATGGACAATCATCCTATGAAGTTTGAATATTATGGGCCAAATGGAACTAAAGTTATGCTCCGGAAACTGTTTTCAGTATCAAGGTAATAGTGACCTTGACCTTTGACCTTGTGACCCCAAAACCAATAGGGGTCTTCTACCCAATATGGACAATCATCCTATGAAGTTTTTGGGTCAAATGGAACTTAAGTTATGCTCCGGAACCTGTTTTCAGTTTTAAGGTAATAGTGACTTTGACCTTTTGAACCCAAAATCAATAGGGGTCTTCTACCCAATATGGACAATCATCCTATGAAGTTAAAAGATTGTATTGTAGACCAAATGGAACTTAAGTTATGCTCCGGAAACCAAATTGCTAACGTCTGGATGGACGGACAGACATACAGACGGACGCAAGGGGGTATAACATAATATGCCTTTTCGGGCATATAAAAATGAACAAAGGGCAATAACTTCAAAATACAGTTGAGTTCACACTTAAAATTACACAAAGTGCACTTGGAGTGCACTAGATGTGCACTACTAGTTTACTTGGAAGTGCACTAGACCTGTTATATGTATTAAGCAGTTACCTTTTTTTCAATGAATAGCAATTAGACTTTTACAAAAAATAAATATCTGTTGAATAGTTTTCATAATAAATTTGAAGTTGTGAATATTTGATTTTGTAAAAACTGGTGTAAAATATAAGAACAATTAAATTTTTTAAAGTCATTCATTTTACTGATTTTGTACTTTAAAACTTAACTGTTAAATAAGTAAATATAAATAATTATAACTTTAATGTTGATAAGTGCATAAATAAACAAAATTAATTGATATTTAACATGATTCTATTATGTTATAATCTGGTAATGAAATATGAAATGCTAATTTGATAAAATTCATACTTAAACTGACAATGGTCGGTATAGAACTAAGTTGACATGTTGATGTAGTTCACAATGGCATAACGTGTCTTTATTCTTTACAAGGAGTAGATATGTGAGAATGTAGATTTTTTTAATCAGTCAGGGTTATTTAGATGCTAAGATAAACAAATTTTAAATTTTGTGTGTAGTTCTTTAAACGATATATTTTGTTTTTTTAATATTTTGACACTGTAAATCAGATCTTTGCAGTGAACTATTGCCAACATCCATCGTCACAAACCAAAGTCAACTTTTGTTTATTTGACCGTAAATAAGAATACCAGTAATTACTAAATATATCACTACACTATATATATATATTCTTTATTATACGTAGTCTCATCTATACATACTTGAAACATAGACAAATATACAACGAGAACAATGTATAACCATATAAAACACATTATGTCTAAATTCTTTTATTTTCGCCGACTTTAGAGAACAAATTGGCGTGTTTGTTTATACCAACATGCTTTATGTGCGTGAGGCATTTAACTTTGTAATAAAATATCTTAAATATTTCGAATGGAATTGAAAGACTAGAGTTGAGAACAAAAATGTTAAAGACAATATTTATTGTCTACAACATTGACATCATACGCATTTACAAATATTTCAAGGAAGCTAAATGATCATGCGATACTACATTTTAGCTGTGAATACGATAAAATCTTGTTACACTAAACATTTAAGCTATTGTGTTTGTATTAAAGTCAAACAGATCATTTTAAAGCATATTTTTCTTGATTATATCTCACGTTAAGTTATGGTGAAACAAAAGAAAAATAACAAAGAAAAAACTTAACTTGTTACAAAAGGAAATAAAACCCACCCGGCTATGTTTTGTTTTTTTCTAAAAGCAAATAACTTTTAAACTATTTAAAACAGTGTACAAGTTAGACTTCGTGCTATTTCTCTTACATTCAATATATGTACTTGATGTTATTTTTATAGCTATAGATAAAGACAATAGTAGCACAATTAGCTTAAATATAAATATCCCCTAAATCCTAGTTATTGCCAAAACTATATTTGATATATAAGTCTTTGGCGTTCCTTCTGCCAAAAACCGGCACTCAGCGTACACTTATAATAAGCCGAGGT